AAACCTGAAAAGAATACAAAATAATATTGAATGTAAAGAAATGAAAATAGGAACGAAATTTTTATAAATTTCTAAGTTAAATAAAGGCTAAAAAGGAAGGAAGGGGGACATTAAAAATAGTGTTTTTCATTTTACCACTTTATTGTCTTTTCATTACATGAAAAAGACTTTATATGGTGCTTTTATACTTTTCTTTTTAAAAAAAATATATTTCATTGATTTTTTTTTTTTTTTTTTTTACAGAGAGGAAGGGAGAGAGATAGAGAGTTAGAAATATCGATGAGAGAGAAACATCAATAAGCTGCCTCCAGTACACCCCCACCAGGGATGTGCCAGCAACTAAGATACATGCCCTTGACCAGAATCGAACCTGGGATCTTTCAGTCCGCAGGCTGACACTCTATCCACTGAGCCAAACCATTTTTAGCAGTGCTTTTATACTTTTTTAAGTCATATCTCATTTGATGTTCAGGGCAACTTAAAGATAATTATTCCCTCCACTATTCAAAAGAAAGAAAATCTTACTGTCTGGCCCCAATGATTCAATTGTCAAGCCCTTATTGTAAAAAAGGGTTAGTGAAATTTTCTGTGAAAGGTTAAATCTATACTAATAAAAGCCTTGAAGGTAATCAGGCCAGCAGGGAAGAGCAGTTGGGGGTGATCAGGCTGGCAGGGGAGCAGTTAGTTGTCAATCAGGCCAGCAGGGGAGCGGTTAGGGAGCAATCAGGCTGGTAGGCAGAGTGGTTAGGGGCAATCAAGCAGGCAGGCAGGCGAATGATTAGGAGCCAGCGGTCCCGGATTGTGAGAAGGATGTCCAACTGCCGGTTTAGGCCCGAACCTGCAGGAATCAGGCCTAAACCAGCAATCGGACATTCCCCAAAGTTGCCGAGATCGGAGAGGGTGCAGACTGGGCTGAGGAACACCCCAGACCCCCATGCACAAATTTCATGTACCAAGCCACTAGCAATAAGTATAATAGTAAAGGCCAAATGCACAAAATTTGTGCAAGAGTAGGCCTTCCTTCCCTTGGCTGCTGGCACTGGCTTCCCTCTGGCACCTGGGACCCGGGCTTCCCTTGCAGCCCCAGCTTCATCCAGAAGGTCATCTGGTCTAATTAGCATTTTATGCTTTAATTATTATAGATTGTACTGGAAGTTGTAGCCACTGCCATCAGGCAAGAAGAAAATATCCTGGTTGGTAAGGAAGAAGCAAAACTATATTTGTAGATGACATGATTTTTGTATGTAGAAAATATTAAGGAACTCCTTAAAAATTATTAGTGCTAATAACTGTGTTCAGCAAAGTTGCGGGCTACAAGATCAATATACAAAAATAAGTTGTATTTCTATAACTAGCAATGAATAATCCAAAGATCATTATAAACTGATGAACCAAAAGATAGATATAGAAACAGTAAAGCAACAAGCAGATTGTCAAATTACAACGGGGAGGGGAGGAGGGTCTGGGGGAGACAATAAATCAACCCAAGGACTTGTATACATGCATATAAGTACAACCAATGGACATAAAACTCTGGGGAGGGAGGGGATACGTGGGAGGGAAGGAGGGGGGCAAAAAAAAAAATCAATAAAATATGAAAAAAAAAAAAAAAACTAAAAAAAAAAACAAAAACAAAAACAAAAAACCAAAATGAAATTAAGAGAACAATTTCATGTGTAGTAGCACCGAAACACTAGAATGTATAGGAATAAGTTTTGAAAAAGAAGTGTAAGACCTGTTTTATTGTGAAAAGTATAAAACATCACTGAAAGAGATTAAAGATGACTTAAATACCCCAGGCCCATGAATCAGAAGAATTAATGTTATAATTAATGTTCCCTAAGTTTATCTCTAGAATCATTGTAAACCCTAACAAAATCCAAGCTAGCTTTGCCCCACCAGAAATTAACATACTTACCCTAAGTTTATATAGAAATACAAGGAACTCTGAATAGCCAAAACTATCTTTTAAAAATAGAAAAGAATTGGATGACTCACACACTTCGCAACTTCAAAATTTACAACAAAACTATAGTATTTGTGACAGTGTAGTACTGGCTTAAGGATAGTTAAATAGATCAATGGAACAAAATTGGACGTTGAGAAATTAATTTTTGCCTATGGTCAATTGATTTACCCCAAGGGTACCAAGACACTTCAGTGTGGGAAAGAATAATCTTTTCAACAAATGGTGTTAGGACAACTAGATACCTATATACCAAAGAATAAAGTTGGACCCTACCTCGCACCATAAAGAATGAACTAAAAATAGATCATAGACTTAAATGTAAGCATTAGAACTATAAAACTCTGCTGAAACCGGTTTGGCTCAGTGGATAGAGCATCAGCCTATGGACTGAAAGGTCCCGAGTTGGATTCTGGTCAAGGGCATGTACCTTGGTTGTCGACTCAATCCCCAGGGGTGGGTGTGCAGGAGGCAGCTGATCGATAATTCTCTCTCATTATTGATGTTTCTATCTCTCTCCCTCTCCCTTCTTCTCTGAAATCAATAAAAAAAATTTTTTATTTTAAAGTGTGCTACAAATGATACCACCAAAGAGATGAAAAGATAATCCAAAGAATGGGAGAAAATATTTGCAAATAAAAAGTCTCATACAAGACTTGTATCCAGAATATATAATAAGCTCATAATAAGAATACTGCAATGTTTTTTAAATAGGCAAAGGATTTGAATAGATATTTTTTCAAAGAAGATGTATAAAATGATCAACATGGAAAGATACTCAACATTATTAGTCATTAGGGAAACAAAATCAAAATCACAAGTGAGAGACCACTTCATGTCCATGAGGATGGCCATAATCAGGAAGACAGACAAAAACAAGTGTTGTTGAGGATGTAGAGAAATTGGAACCCTCCTACATTGCTGGTGGGAATATAAAATGATGCAGCCACTATGGACAAAAGTTTGGAAGTTTCTGAAACTATTGAATATAAAATAACCACATGAACCAGCAATTCTACTCCTTAGTATATACCAAAGATAATTAAAAAAAAAAAAATCACACAAGAAATTGTGCATGAATGTTCACACCTAATGTTCATAATAGGCAAAAAGTGAAAACAACAAAAATGTTCATCATCAACAGAAACCATGCCGGCCAGACGGGAATGGCAAAAAATATTCAAGGTGATAATAGCAAGAACCTACAGCCAAAAATACTCTACCCAGCAAAGCTATCACTCAGAATAGAAGGCCAGATAAAGAGCTTCACAAATAACACAAAACTAAAGGAATTCATCACCGCCAAACCAGAATTATATGAATTGCTGAAGGGGGTTCTTTAGGAAGAGGAAGAAAATAAAGATAAAAATTATGAATAACAAATACGTAACTATCAACAAGTGAATCTAAAAACCAAGGGAAATAAAAAAATCTGATGAACAATATTAACTGTTGAATATAACAGAATCAGAGGTAGGGAAGAGGAGTGGACTGATGATTCTCGGGGAAAAGGGGAGTGGGGGTGCGGGAAGAGACTGAACATAAACTGTGTACCTATGGATGAGGACAATGGGGGGTGGGGAAAGGGCAGAGGTGGGGTGGGAACCTGGTGGAGGGGAGTAATGGAGAGGGAAAAAATGAGGAACATTTGTAATATTATGAACAATAAAGATTTATTTTAAAAAAATGTTCATCAACTGATGAATAAACAAAATGTTGTTTAGTCATACAATGGAATATTATTCAGCAACAAGAAGAAATAAAAAACTAATACATGCTATATTATAGATAAACTTTGAAAACGTTACCCTAAGGCAATCACAAAAGACCACATATTATATGACTCTAATTATATGAAATGTCCATAATAGGTAAATCTACAAAGAGGAAGTAGATTACTGAGAGGAATGAACAACACTAATGGCTACTGGTTTTCTTATTTGGGGGGAAAACCTTCTAAAATTATAAAGTGCTAATGGTTATACAACTCTGTGAATATTCTAAAAATCATTGAGATGTATACTTTATTTTATTTTATTTCTTTAAATATATATTTTATTGATTTTTTTACAGAGAGGAAGAGAGAGGGATAGAAAGTTAGAAACATTGATGAGAGAGAACCATCGGTCAGCTGCCTCTTGCACACCCCCTACTGGGGATGCGCCCACAACCAAGGTACATGCCCTTGACCGGAATCGAACCCGGGACCTTTCAGTCCACAGGCTGATGCTCTATCCACTGAGCCAAACCGGTTTCGGCGAGATGTATACTTTAAAGGGATGAATTAGATGGTATCTTAATGCTATCTCAAAAAAGCTGTTAAAAAAGCAACATGTGTAAATTATTTAGTTAATCTCTCCATACCCCTCAGTCCCTCACCCTTCACCTTCCCTCTGAGATTTGTCAGTCTATTCCATGCTTCTATATCCTGGATCTATTTTGTTCCTCACTTTATTTTGCTCATTAGATTCCACATATAAGTGAGATCATGTGATACGTGTCTTTCTCTGACTGTCTTATTTTGCTTAGCATAATACTTTCCAGGTCCTTCCTTGCTGTCTCAAAGGGTAAGAGATCCTTCTTTTTTACAGCTGCATAGTATCCCATGGTATAAATGTTCCACAGATTTTTATCCACTCAATTACTGATGGACACTTGGGCTGTTTCCAGATCTTAGCCATTATAAATAGCACTTCTATGAACAAAGGAGTGCATACATTCTTTCTGACTGGTGTTTCAGGATATATATGCTTACTAGAGGCCTGATGCATGAAATTCGTGAAAGGCTCTGCCCTCGCAGCCCCGGCTTCATCTAGAAGGTCATTCAGCTGTCCAGTCTAATTAGCATATTGCCCTTAACCCATGGACACAGGGAATAGTGTGGTAAAGGTCTGGATGGGGGCAGTGCAGAGGGGGTCAATGGGGAAAAAAAAAAGAAACATCTGCAATACTTTCAACAATAAAGATAAATTTTAAAAACTTATAATTTTAAAAAAAAGCAGTACATGCATATTTCAAGTTGCCTATTTCCTACCTTCCTTTGGCTTCTTTCAGTGCCTTTTCAAGCCTTTCCACATTCTCGGTCTCTTCCCTCAGGCAAAACAGGAGCTGGCGCACAGTTAATTCCTCAGATTCCAAACAACTCCTGGCACCTTCTGCAGATCTGCTCCTACATCAAGGCGGTATAGAGTCAGAAAACAAAAATGTCAGAGTCTAAGAATATAATTGGAACAAACTTAAAGGAACTGCTCTCCATAATACTCCAGTTAATTCTCATTTACTGACAAGCAGTGCTGGCCCTCTGACCCCCATGCTACAGGCCTCCATACTTTCCAGGGAAAGAGAGGAGACTAATGAGTAGGCTTGCCTTACACTGCACATGCTCACAACAGCAGACCACAGGGCCCACGCACACAGCGGAGTCGGGGTAGCCCTGGTTTCCAGTGCCCAGTTTTCCTGGAAAACTAGTCTCAAGAGAACCACAGTCAAAGTACACAGCACACCGGCCTTTCCCCATGCTGACAAAAGCATCACATTCTTGAGCCAGAAAAAAAATCAAATAATTAGAGCAGAGAAATGTAGGCATTATTGGTATGTCAAATATTTTTCTTGATTTCAAAACATGATTAAATCAAGAGGCAGTTCAATGACAAGCAAACAAAACCACGACCATCACTCCAGCAAAGCATTCCAGGTGACTCTGCTGATGCTACTGGCAGCTGCCCTTCCAGTAGTCTCCTCAGATTCACCATCTAGTAAGCAGCCAGGAGTGAATTCTGGTTCCCAACTCCTAAGCTCAAACTGCAAACCTAGAAATCAATATCTGGTTCCTTAATATAGTTTCAAACAGGGTAACGAAGCTGCAATAGAAAATAGCTCTGTGGCTGGAAAGAGGAAGTGGTCAGTGCCCATGGATCTAAATGAGTAGGAAGTGGGTTAAAGCAATTTCAAACAGGGCTTCCTTCTTTCTCACCATTTCCAGTAAAGTCTTCTGATATTAAAAAAGAAAGTAAACGAGACAAAAAATGAGGAATTTCTAATTAAAAATGGGAATAACTGTCATTTATGCCAACTGCTCTCCTTGAAGGAAGGATGTTACCTAATAACTTATTTTCTTCCTTATACAAGGGCATGGGAGCATAACAGAAAAAAACAACAAATCCATTTTCATGTTTTATAAATACATTCATCAAGTTATAGAGAAAAGATATTAAAAATCTAGGGGATGGCCGAAACCGGTTTTGCTCAATGGATAGAGCGTCGGCTTGGTGACTGAAAGGTCCCAGATTCGATTCTGGTCAAGGACATGTACCTTGGTTTCAGGCAAATCCCCAGTAGGGGGTGTGCAAGAGGCAGCTGACGGATGACTCTCTCATGGATGTTTCTAACTCTCTATCTCTCTCCCTTCCTCTCTGTACAAAATCAATAAAATATATTAAAAAAAATCTAGGGGGTGGGGAATTGGGTCATCTGTAATACTCTAACAATAAAAATAAATACTTTTTTTTTTTTAAGTCTACGAGGGAAGAGATTCTTAGGGAAACTTTCAGACAGTCTGTTGCTTGTAGACTGATACAGTAGTAAGAGGATGAGCCAACAGCCTCTTCTGGGGAATGCTACCTGCAAGTCTCAGGGGCCCAGGCCTTCTACCATCCCCTCGAAGTACCCCCATCAATTACAAGGCTTACTTCCTAATAAATACTTAGGAGGGGTTGACTCAAGACTGCCCAGGTAAAATACCTGGTCATTTCCAAGAAACACCCAGAGACTCTGCACAGTAGAGACTTCCATTGCTATTGAAGATTACCCATTAGTATCAGTCACAGTGGCTTGTACTAAGGAATGAACAGGGCAGAGGAAATGGAAATATCCCACTTATCAAGCTGGGCAGCCCGGTCCAGCTCAAACTGTGCTGGTATGCAAATTAGGAAGTAGAGTCATTCACTTTTTATCTGGAGAAGAAACACCCTGAGTGGTGAAGGTTAGTTAGCCTGAAAAGGCATCAAACATTGCTTTTATTCTCTGCCAGTTTTACTGCAACATTAAACAGCATTTAAACATTCTTGAGAGGTCCTGATTGGTATAAATTAAAAATAAGTGACTTTACAGCCCATGCTGGACCTCTCAGTGGGGACTTGGAAGTGACAAGACTGTCCAGTAAGCCTGTCCAACAGCCCTAGTCTTTCTTCACATACGTGTCAATGGAGTCAATTCTTGTCTTGATATCTTTCACTGCCACATGTGCTTCTCCTTCCTGTAGAACCAGAAGGGAAAAGGATATAACACAATACGTCTACAAGATGAATATTATTAAAGATAAAAAGGCAAAATAGAAAAAGTAAAAAAAAATCAAGAATTTTCTTGACATGCAACCTAAGGAGCCCACCAAACATTTAAATATGAGGTGTTTAAATTGGGTCACTCAAATGGAATGGAAATGTACCCTTCCCTCACCCCACATGCCCTGCCAGGATTATAAATATCCACACGAAGGTTGGTCTCCTCTCATTCAGCACAGTCAATCTGACCCCATAACATGAAAGCTTATCTCCTGCTCTCTTTGGCAGTTCCCTCCTTTCCTAGGTTAAGGTCACATGGAGCTAGTGACAACTCCACACACCTTTCCTGTACAGTCCTTTAAAACGCAAAATGCTAGAATTTCCTGAAGCGAAGTTGAAAAAGAGGCAGTTTTCTATGAACAAGGCTCACAAAACACAAAGTCAGCTCCTATTAGAAACCCTATGCATCTTGGGCCATTTAGGAAACCAGAGGATTAAGACCACTTCAATGACTTAAAGGGCAATTCTAATGAGGTAGCGGGATAATCTTCCAAAAGTGCACAATGATGTTCTGGATAGTTCTGGATGTGTGCATTCTTCCTAAAATTTGGGCAGTGCTATCCAGTTCACAGAAGCAAGGCCAAGAAAAACAGGTTTTCACTAAAAATAACTGTCACTCATCGGTGAGGGAACATACCATGCTCACCACGCGCCCCAGAAGCAGGAGCCTTTTGGAAACTCCTGATAGGCTTGTTGGGCTTCCTGGATGTTATCAGTTACTTGCAGAAGGTTAAAACTCTTTGATCAAACTTGTATTTCATAATCTTTAGTCACTTGCAGAGAGAGTATTCTGGCAAAGCGTGCTTTCAAGTGGTATTTTAATTTTCTTAATTTCAGCCACTTTTAATGCATCTAAGATTTACTCTGGGGCATGGATGACAAAGTCATTAAGAGCCATTCTCCAACTCTATCAATCTTTATTGCAGCAAAGGAATCAGGAAGTAAAGGAAGTCACACTAATATTTCAGACACATCTGTGATTTAGCTTTTTGCAAATTGCCCTTTCAACTCCTTCATCTGTCCCCCCATCATTTTTCTCTTTCAGAGACACAATCTCTTTTCCTTTATCAGACATGCACTTTGATAAAGCTACAATGACAGTGTGTATGACAGAGGATTGGACCTTTGCGTGTTTTCCCCCTCTGTGTTCATCCACTATTTTAGTAGGACTGAGACACAGCCATGACGGGCGCCGCACACAGGCTAGGACATGCCATCTCTCTTAGCTCACTTCATTGTGGTGGCACATAAATGGGAGTTTGGTAGCATCAGCTTCAAACTCTGTTCTCGGGTTCCTGAGAAGCTGCTGGTAGAGAAGCTGAGATAGTCCCTCCACCTACAACCAGCGGAGCTCTGCTTCTTTTCTTCACTTATTTTTAACAAACTGTGGTTCCTCACAAGACCTTGTTTGAAAAGAGGGTTCTAATATTAAAAAATGTTTTTAAAATATTTATTGCATCTGATCATGATTCTGCTCACCTAAGTGAAATGCTGAACACTGCTTTGAGACTTGGTCTAAAAAGAATTATGCTTTTTTTTTTTGCCTTTTAGGTCAGTCATATAGATGTCTGATTTGTAAGAATGAAAAAAAAAAAGGACTAGCTGTTTTGTCATAAGAGGTAATAGATGTTTTTCCATTTCAGCTATGATAACCCTCACAAGCATTGTGTTACACTTAAAAAAAAAAAAAAAAAAGAGAGAGAGAGAGCCAATTTACCTTTACTACTGAAATTTCCCCACTAAGTGGCTTCCCTGTTTTGAGAAAGAAATGGTGGTATTTGTGTCAATTGCCCAGGTGAGGTTTTGGAATTTGCTTAACACAAAACCAAAATACTTACAGCCATCCTTATTTCAACAAAGGAGTCTTCCGAGGGGCCTCCGGAGCTCAGCCTGACTTGTAATTCAGACACAATGCCCAGCAGATCGGCCTTTTCAGCTTGAAGTCGTGCCACTTGGGTCTTCAGCTGTTCCACTTCCTGTTCTGCCTCGGGGACCTTGTGGTCCCCAGTGGGGTCCTGGAAATGACCAAGAGGGAAGCACATTAATGAATTACGCTAAGGCTCCAGAATCCAACCACTCCCCATGCCCACTGACAAGGCAGTTTCTCAACAACTGGATCCCCTGGGCTTTACAGTAAAAAATTCTTACATTTCCTTGGCAATTTATTTTGACATAACATTTAAAATAAACATTTTAATATTTTATTGTATACAAATAATAAAAAATATTTTTAACCTCATGACAAGAAAGATGTGCTTCCTCAGCATGCTGGAATAATCTGGTATTATAATAACAGCCAACTAGAATGGAGACTTGACTTGGGGTGGTGAACACACAATACAGTTTTCATATGATGTGTTGTAGACTTGTGCACCTAAAGCCTGTATAATTTTGTTTATCCAAATAAATTAAATAAAAAAGATAGTGCTTCTGAAGTAACTTTTTAATGCTTTATTTTTATTATTTTGTAATTAATTTTAGAGGAAGGGAGAGGGAGAGGAAGAGAAAGATGAGAGGGAAGGAAGGAGAGAGGGACAGAGGGAGAGAGAGGGAGGAGACAGGGAGAGGGAGCGGGAGCGGGAGCGGGAGCGAGAGCGAGAGAGAGCGAGAGAGCGAGAGAGCGAGAGCGAGAGCGAGAGCGAGAGCGAGAGCGAGAGCGAGAGAGAGAGAGAGAGAGAGAGAGAAAACTTTGATGTGAAAGAAAGAGTAATCGCCCTGATTGGGGATCAAACCTGGAACCTGGGCATATGCCCTGACCAGGAATGGAAACCACCACCTTTTGGGGTACAGAAGGACACTCCAATCAACCAAACTACCCACCAGGGGGCTTTTGCAGTATGTTAAAAAAAAAGAAAAATGAAAAGCAACTAAATTTTGCCAATGGCAGAATTGTAAGTTATAGTCCCAAAATACTTGAAAATAAGGATAGAAAGCTATCACAATTCAACCTCTTGCTCCCCATTCCCCGCACACACAAATGTATAGCCACCATCACTCTCCCCATACCTGTCATATCTACTCAGAAGACAAAGCACCAAAGATATCACGTGGTACAGTACTGGCAAAAACACAATGAAAGGTTCAAAATTCTCCCAGGAATGTAGTCTGGGTCCTATAAAACTTTGTGTTGTTTTAAGCTTGTTAAACCTAAGTCTGGTGAGAAATAAGCAAACTGACAATTCAGAGGCAGGTAACAAAATGAAAAAAAAATTCAGCCTCTATAAACATTAACAATAAATGTTAATATTTCACTAATGTCAAACACATGTTGTGTTCCTGCTGTTGCAATTACTGAATATGTCAAAGTCAGAAAAGCAAGACCCTGTTTAGCTGCAGTGATTTGCTTGTGAGAATAGACTCCAGTCCACACTCTGCTAATCAGTGCATGTGTTGCCTTGAGTAGATTCACTTCATGTTTCGGCCTCAGTGTATTTCCAGCTGTGACCTTCTCATCCTCTCTGATTTCCTCCTCAGGAAACCTTCACTGCTCTTGGCACCACCAGAAATACATGCATTTGTGATTATCAGATGACGCAACACATTAGAAAATTGACCCCTACACACACACATTTACCCTCTGTGATAGATTTCCTAAGGAATGGTAAACAGATCCAAAGGCTCGCAGTGGAACCAAAAAGTATCAGAAGGGCATGTGCCTGGACCATAAACCAGCCTGTCAATGAAATATTAAAAAGTGTAGCAGGGAAGTGCCCCTCCCACCATCAAGATCATGCTCGTCTTGATTTGCAGCCAAGAATCTACCACAGGCCTTTGAGAAAAGCAACTCATTATGAAACCAAGTCAGGTGGGCAAAGAAAGGTTCCAAGCTTATGCTACCTCCCAGTAATGACTCACACCGTGGGAACATACAAGTAAAAGAATGAAAAGATACAAGGAAAGACTCAGCCTGGAATCAGGAAGTAAGCAGGTAAAGGCAAGACTATGCCCCATTAGGAATCTTCACATTTATCTACCTGACCTCTCGGGGGACATTGTATAAATGGATTTTTTAAAACTACCTTGGCATAGCCCTAGCTGGTTTGGCTCAGTGGTTAGAGCGCTGATCCTCAGACTGAAGGGTCCCACGTTCGATTCTGGTCAGGACACATACTCAAAGCAATCAATTGATGTGTCTCTCTCACATTGATGTTCCTCTCTCTGTCTCTCCCCCTCCCTTCCACTCTCTCTAAAAATCAATGGAAAAATATCCTCGGGTGAGGATTAACAAAAAACAAACAAACAAAAACAAAACAAAACAAAAAAAACACTACCTTTATTTTATTATTTTAAAGAGGCCCTGCGAGCTTTATTTGAATTTTCTGCCTCCTTATAAAAGTATGTTCCTGGAAAGAGAGTTTTAAACAAGAGTCTGAGGACCAGTGATATGAGGCCATGACACTAGAATCTCAGACTGTTGGTTAATTGTCTTTTTCCACACTTGTGAGAATCTCTTAATTATCCTTGAGAAATTATGAATCTAATTATTTGTCCATAAACACCCTGTAGGATAACACTTTAATTTCCTCTCCATTTTAACACTGGGAGTCTTTTCCCTGCCTTCTGGAAACCATAGAACTCTTATGGTTTATTCTCCCAAATCTCAACCCCCCCTCCACTAGTTGTTACACTATCATCACTTTTGAGCCTTTACCATTGACCTTGTGGAACATAGTAACTTCCGGTCTTTCTGTATATTTGTCTAATGTCTCTATCCTACTGTCCTGGCAATGTGTGCAGGTTGATATGCCATTTAAAAAAATATTTTATTGATTTTTTACAGAGAGGAAGGGAGAGGGATAGAGAGCTAGAAACATCGATGAGAGAGAAACATCGACCAGCTGCCTCCTGCACACCCCCTACTGGGGATGTGCCCACCACCAAGATACATGCCCTTGACCGGAATCAAACCCGGGACCTTTCAGTCCGCAGACCGACACTCTATCCACTGAGCTAAACCGGTTTCAGCTGATATGCCATTTTTCTAATCCAAGAAGAAAAGTCTATCTAATGACCTTTGCCTAAGTAATCTGCAATTAAGAATTAAAAAGTATTCCTTAGAAGAATTAATGTATAATTCAGCGACACTGGACAGATCATTAATGCCTCAGCTTCACCCTGAGGATCAGAAGGCAGCTCTCTAAAGGAAATTCCAACTCCCTGGCCTGGAGTGGCACAGTGGCATGAGAAGCCCTGGTGGCTGGGGGCATTTCCTGTAGAAACAGTGCAAAGATGGGTCAGCATGAATGAGAGAAACCCAAGGCCTTAAAACCTTTACTAAATCAGGAAGATGAGGACCTAAATAAAAAAAAAACACAACCTCAAATGACCCTTGAAACAAAAGTTAAGGAAGAGGCAAGGAGGCAGGGGTGGGTCTGGGAGGCACAGTTTGGGGGAGAAAGCTGATGACCAAGGGTCTTAAAGAGCTATAAGTGTCTCTTTGTCTCAAGGACTCATTTCTGAGTCCTTCCTCTAGCTCACTTTAACTTATCATCTGGATTGAAAGAAGCTGTGTAGAGTTTTAGCTTCTGATCTCAACTTCTTGCAAAACCTACAGGCAGGCTATCTCAGATAGACAAACTGCTTCTAGAAGCTTCCTTTTTAGCTTTAATGGCTGAAGTGAACTGTTAGCTCACATCCCAAAAGGCAAGGGAAATACCTGTAAGGTATTTCATTCCAGAGAACAGAAAGTTACTCATGTATTCCAGGTGATCATTTCTTCAGAGTACTGTACCTCAAAAATATTTGGACAATGAGAGATTTCCCCAAGAAAAGTGACTTAATGCTCTTGGAACTGTAAGACACATCTAAGCATCAGAGGTGATAAATTCTGTCAACAGTGAAACATTTCCAATACAAATATAAATATATTAAAGCTGAATGTTTTCACTGTTCCATGAGCATGAGTTGATGAGCAGGTCATTGATATAAACTATGATCTTTTTCTAAAAAACTTTTCATTTGTTATATTACTCAGTCATCCCTTTTTCATTATTTTCTTTCCATTTTATTCTTTACTCATTTAAGAAATTACAGATCAGCAAAGTTCAAAGTAAAATCTCAAGAAAAATCATTGATATCCAGGATTACATCCTCCTTCAGTAAACCCAAAGCTCCATCTTCCAAAGGGTTATTAAGTTGCAGGCTTGGACTGTAGATGTCCATATAAACAAATAATTCGCAGTGAGTTTTAGCGTGTGGGCAGAGGCTTCAACTGTTTTCTGATTTGCTTTTTTCATTAACATCTTTGACACCCACTCTTGGTTGTGAGCACATTTCCTAGATTCTTTGGGTCAATGAAAACATGGCAACCTTATATAACCTCCTATCACAACAAGACATTTGTCAAACCATTTTCCAAAAGTAAACGTAAAACTTAAAGCAAAGAATCTGTTTTAGACTGAAAAAAGACAAGGTCAATAAGTAAAAATTCTGAGTAATAGTAAATTTTATTTTATTTATTTATTTATCCTCACCTGAGGATATTTTCCCATTGATTTTGAGAGAGTGGAAAAGAGAGGGAAAGACAGAGAGAAATATCAATGTGAGAGAAACACATCATTTGATTGCCACCTGTATGTGCCCCGACTAGGGTTGGGGAGGAAACTGCAACCGAGGTATGAGCTCTTGACTTGAATCAAACCTAGGATCCTTTGGTCCACAGGCCTATGTTCTATCCACTGAGCTAAACTGGTTAGGACAGTAAATTAAAAAAACGTAATTTTATATCAAAGACATGCATCTAAAACTAACATTTGTCGGTTCTAAGCAGAGGTCCTTCTGCTCTGTCTATAATGAGTACAAAATAATAACCTCAACATTCTTCTGATTAAAATCATTATGGTCAAAGCTTTACAAATTTCTTTCTCCCAATAAGAGATTATTCATGACCCTTAAAATCACAACCAATCTTCTCAGCAAGAACATTTCTTTCAAGATAATGCAAAACATCCATGTAACCTAAACCATAAATGGTTTGATCTAGAAGTCTAGACAAATGAGATTCCGCTACAAATATTAATAAAATAAAATCACAACCAATTTGTCTGCTCACCTCTAATGACTTTTCTGCTTTCCCTTTTAGTTTTCTAAGTTCTTCCTTTAATTTTTCATTTTCCTGACTCAGAGCCATTAGACGCTCTTTGGCTTCTTTGCTCTGGATCTCAAAAAAATGGCGTTCCTCCTTCTGTTTCTCTGTCCAGGCTGAGAGCTCCTGAAATCGCCCTTTCATAGCTTGGTTATTTAGCTTCATGGCTTCTGTATGGGGTTCAGAGTAAAGGGTCACACAAGGGGGTTACACAAACTCGACTTGATTTAATGAATCAAACAGCCCCTCAAGCCACTTCAACCTGAGGCTCTGAATCTAAAGATGCCATGTTGCGTCCGGGCCCAAGAGTCAGCCAGAAAAGGAAAGATTAGCAAGATGAGTGGTTTTTGCTTCCAGACAGGACTAGTAGGTCTAATGTCTCAAAAGTGTCAATAAAGTAAAACTGATTTGGGTACCTCCATATAGCACAAAATACCTATGAATAACTAACTAGACAGACTAACCACTGGACCTGCCAAAAGCCATGGCTTGAAATGAGAAACCTTCCTCTTAACAAGGCAGTATTTAGAACTAAAGGAAATAATAGCAGCCTTTCTTTTTCTTTTTAATTGGGCTAAATGTTTTTTTTTTCTGACCGGTACCCAAAGGTAAGTAATGAGAACAGTTTTAGCCTTACTAAAAGCTAAATTCTGTACTCTTTCCGCCCCCAGGGAACCATCAGAGAATAGGGAGTTCACCTACAAGCCTTATTACAAAGGGATTAGGCTCAGGAAGGCCTGGGATGAATGGAGGAACAAGGGGCCAGGGGCCAGGTGCTGCTTACCTTTCAGCTGATGGTTCTCAGTCAGAAGCTCTTTCATCTGCTGTAGCAGCTCCTCTGGCGTAAACGTGTTCAGGTTTGGGTGAGGCAGATTGGGGGGGCCATTTTCTGTGGCTTCATTTGGACTGTCCCCCTTTTCAGTCAGGCAGTTAAGTGGTTGGTAAGACATGGCAGCAGTTCCTATGAAAAAGTTACAAACTGAAAAACAACTGTCCCCAAGAGTCCCCCAAATCTATTAGTAATTGCTAGTAAGTACCCCAAGAGTTGCCTACTTTTTCTCCAAATAAAATTGAACATTTATGATTCTATCTTTTAAACAAAAAAAGGTATATCCTAGCTTCAGTGTGTGCATGTGTATGTCTGTGTATATAGGTGCAGTGAGGAGCTGAAATATGGAGGAGGAAGAGGGCATATCATGATGATCAGGTATCCTAACACAGGTCATTCAAGATATACATTTGTATATACATAAGCAAAGTATCATTAAATTGATTTTCCCACGCAAATCTTTACACTCAGCTCTCCATATTTTGGGTGAATTATATCTCAATAGGATTGCTTATAATCTTCATATTTTAGGCTGAGAAAAAAGGGGAACTAATGTATTTTTGATGCTTAGTTACCATACCACATGACAGTTTCTAATCCTCACTGAAACTCAACATATACCTGTTTGGGGACAAAGCTGGGTTCATTGAGGTTTAATAAGCCCAAGGTCACTTAACAACAGGCGCAACCAAATACAAATGGTGATTCCAAACCAGACCTGTAATATGATAAAAGAACTGAATATTTAGGCCTTGGTATTCGATATTTTGCAAAGCCCACTAAAAAGACTAGAAAATATTGCCTAATTATTGCATATTCTGAGAATGTCTCAATACCATTTTATTTTTTAGAGGGATCAAAGTGGACATAAGGGAAAGTATATTCCAACTTTACTTCTGTATGGCCTACCACCTGGGCAAACATAGAAATCTCTTCTAATAACTGTATATATGTTATAGGAAAACATTTAAAAATATATATTTTTATTGATTTGAGAGAGAGGAAGGGAGAGGGAAATAGAAACATCAATGATGAGAGAGAATCATTGATTGGCTGCCTCAAGCACGTCCCACACCAGGGATCAAGCCTGGAAGTGGGGCACGTGCCCTGACTGGGAATTGAATCATGACCTTCTGGTTTATAGGTCAACACTCAACCACTGAGCAACACTGGCCGGCCTAGGCAAACATTTTCTTTTTCACACTTCATGGAGAACTGCAGAGTCAGTGAATCAGTCACTAGAAGATGAGGAGAGAGACATGCACTATCTGATCTGTCACTATATTGTAACATCTATGAGCACTCTCTCTGTGTCCATGTCATAAAATGTAGCTATCCACTGACTGCAGGCGGTGCTCCTTCCCAACTCAACAAGAGGCGATACCTGGGCTCTCTGGAGGTTCCCTGGAACTGAGAGGCTGGCGACCTGCCTTTGGTCTGAAGGAGCTTGTAGGTAATCAGAGATGGCGCTACTATTGATGGGACAGCAGGCCCCACGACACTGTCACCTTCGTGACTTCTCTCTAAGACAGCTAACACAAAGGAAGGCATTCTCATCGAATTCCGTAATTATTGGATGGCAATCTCAGGAGGTAAAAAAAAAAAAACACTAATAAAGAATAATATTCAACTGTGAGCCTTTTGAAGGCATCTATGAGGTACACATCCTAATTCATTTAGAAAAGAGGAATAATGTTGAAGTGTGCTCTCTCAGCATCAGATGACTAGATGGACTGCTTTTGTTTTCCCAAGTAAAATAATCTACGTTATCTTGCATGAAATAATCTGGATAAAAATAATTTGAATGACACCAGTTTTTCTGGCTTTCTATAAAATTCACTTTTGCACAGAATGATGTTGATGCTAACATTTCATAAATATGGGCTTTTACTGCCTTGACCAGGTGACTCAGTTGGTTGGGCATTGTCCTGTGCACCAAAAGGTTGCTGGTTTGATTCCTGGTCAGGGCACATGCTTGGTTGGCAGGCTTGATCCCCGGCAGGGGGCATGCAGGAGGCAGCCAATTGATGTTTCCCTCACATAGATATTTATCTCCTTTCCCTTCCTCTCTCTCTAAAAAATTAATAAAAATACTTTAAATGTTTTTATTGACTTTTTTTTTTTTTTTGAGAGAGGAAGGGAGAGTGAGAGAAACATTGTGAGAGAGAAACATCCTATATGCATCCTGACCCAGGACGAACCTGCATCCTGGGCATGTGTCCTGACTGAGAATCGACTGGCAACCTTTCAGTGCATGGGATGATGCTCAAACAACTGAGCCACGCCAGTCAGGGCAATTAAAAATATATATATATATATGTATATATATTTTTTTGAAAGTGTCTAAGATGTCTGTAGATGAGTTAGGTTTCATTGTATTATATGCCCACATTTCTTCTTAATGTTTTTTCCAAGAGAGGGTTAGGAGAAAAAAAGAGAGAGGAGAGGGGAGGGAAGGAGAGGAGAGAGGAGATGAGAGGAGAGGAGAGGAGTTGAAAGAAGGAGAGAGAAAAAAAAAAAACACAGAGATTTTCCTTAAAAAAATTGAGCAGGTATTTTCCTTCTTTCCTTTCCTTTATACCTCTACCAAGCTTTAGGACATAACCATAATACAGTTAAAGTGGTTCTAGTGGTTATACTAATGCTTCTCACTTTTTCAGGACACCAAGAAAAAAAGGCAGGGCTATACAAAGGAGACAGTAGTAAAAATACCAGGTGCCACTAACCAGATGTGTGACCTTTAGAAGTCACCTGGCCTCTTGCTATGGTTTATTGTCTTGTCTAGCAAATGATAATCATTATAGTTGGTTTCAGCTCAAAAAGTATTCTAAACCATCTAGCAAGATCACAGTTCAACCCACACTGTTCAGCACACCCTAACACTCTCATGGCTGTGACACCCCTCTCACTAATCCTATATTATAAAAGCGGAGCATGCAAATTGTCCCTTCGACTGGGAGTCGTTCAGTCCAGGAGTTTGACCAGGTGGTGGGGCTGGCCAGGGAAAGGGAGGAAGGCCCTGGCCAGCAGCAGGTGGCTGGGGGAAAGGAGGGAGACCCTGGCTGGTGGTGATCGTGGCAGGTGACTGGGGGAAAAGAGGGAGTACCCAGCTAGTAGCTGGCAGCCACTAGGGACCCTACCAGTGGACAACATTTGTGCACTGGACCTCTAGTAATATATATATATATGCCTGTCCTAGTTAAACTTTTCATTACCCAGCATTTTTAGGAAAATTTATTTGGTAATGCAAATGTCACAGTAAATGAAGAGTTACTACATATGCTGAACATAAGCATGTAAAAACCAAAATTACAAGCATGTAATTTATTATCAAATTTTTACTAAAAGAAATTTCATCAGTTTTGGTGATTCAAAGGGCACTTTATGGTTTAAGAATATTTGAAGAGCCTCATTAGGAGTTATCACAGTGCAGTGCATATGGGAAATGTCTATTGGTAGAGGATGCTGAATTCTCTGTTTTTAACATTACTTTCAATTAAGCAAATACAGAGATACATCAGAAATCCTTGCACACATCTTCAAAGGTTATGGAAATGTGAACTAACCCATTTATTCCAAGATTCTATCTAATAACCGAAATTTTCATAAAAAGCTATATAATCTGGATCTGAAATTGTGCACCTGAAATTGTGTCATTTGTAAGCAGAGGTGATATTTAACTACAAAAAGGTGAATTAATTTAGGACAGGATTTGTCAAGATTTTGCCAATGAGAAAGAATGAGAACTAGTTGGAAAGTGTAAGATCCAAAGCAAAATCTCTTAGATTTAATTCCCAGATCTGCTATTTGAATTCCTGATTACATATTTTTATCGTTCTTAATTCCAGAGGTCAAGTAATTTTAGCAATGACTTGACTTTGTAGACATGAGCTTAAATCTCATTCCTGAGGTGGCCTTAAAAATGATCCAGTCCAACTCCTTTATTCAGTGCAAGAATGTCTTGACCAGGCTTGAATGATTTCAATGATAGAAAAAAAATGAGCAATGACCTTAGCAGGAAACTGCTCATTCTATTACAGGATAATTCTAATTATCAGAAAGTCATTTTGAAATCTGCTTTATACTGACTTCCACCCACTGGACATTGGACCAAGAGACATATACAGAATAAGCCCAGGCTTCAACCTGGTGTGGCTGATTCTCCAGATTTGCTGATTAAGTATTCATAGGTTCAATCTCCAAGTGATTAACTTAGTTTTTTTCCCCTTCATATTGAATTTATTGGGGTGATCCTGGTTAACCAAATTATATAGATTCCAGGTGCACAATTTCACAACACACCATCTGTACACTGTATTGTGTGTTCACTACCCCAAATCAAGTCTCCTTCCATCACCATTTATCCCCCATACCCTCCTCCACTTCCCCCTACCCCTCCCCTCCTGCCCTGCGGAAATCATCACACTGTTATCCATGTCCATGAGTTTTCTCTCTCTTTTTTTTTCTTTTTCTTTTTTGCTTACTCCCTACACCCCCAGTCTGTTCTCTATGAGTCTGTCATCAAGAGGATAAATTGTTGATTGGAGACCCATAGCTGGCATGGCAAATTCTGGTTTGGATTTACAAGGAGACCGAGTAAGATTCCAAGATGAGATCAACTAAACCTATCACCATTCTGGAAAAAGAAAACCTGCATCCTACTAAAGAGGGTAAAAAAAGCCTCACTTTCTGTGACAGAACTGGTATTCTGATTTTGTAGTTTGCTAACATACAGAAAATGGAAATAGATTTTACCTTATCGTCCCAGGCAGGAACCTAGGAGTTAGGATTGTTTCTTCCCATTCTCTCTCCCCCAAAGTCTAACATATTAGTGCTGTCACTTCCACCCTCCCTCCCTCCCTCCATCCCACCAGCTTAACTCAGGCCCTTCTTGTCTTGTCTGGACTACAACAACACTGCACTCCACAGAGTACAGGGTTTTTGCCTATTTTGTCCATTGCTGTGTCCACCACACCTAGAACACAACTTGACACATTTGGGGATTCAACAAATAATTGCTGAATGAATTTTCATAGCCTCCTACAAGGTCTGACTCTCATCTTTTTTCACCTCAGCCTCATTTCCTCCATGGTTTCTTTTCTAGCATGTGCTCAGCTGACT